CAGCTGGGATAGGCTCCAGCCCCCCAACAACCCCTAACAGGATAAACAGAAAGGAAAATGAATGAATTAATAAAAATGCTGGTTATTACTTTTAGGTACTGTTCTTTATTTATCAGAAGAGAGGGGTAGCTGGGGTGTGACTCCATTTTTTTTCTTTTTTAAGCTACAGATATTTTCCCTTGAACCTCCCTGAGTGACTGCCTGAAAATGCATGACCCTCCCTCCACCATAAATTAGTTATTTGATTTTTAAAATGTTCTCTTTGATGTTTGAAAGTTAAAAGTTAAAAGTTGAAGATGAAATCCTGGAGTTGAAAAAATTTAAAAATCCAATAAAGCTCAGTGTAAGTTCAATCAGGAAGACTGTCTTTGTGCTGTATTCATTCACAGTTCTCTCCATATCCCACTCCCATCACTTCCACCAATCAGCTGACTCATCTCATCACCACCAGAATCTAGACCCCATAGGGTGGATCCCTAATCTACTACATCTTCACCACCCTCCTGGAATAGATGACATCACAACGGGGTCTAATTGCCATAGACTTTTCACATTTCTCATACTTATGTCCACCTGTAGATAAATATTCTTTTCTCTCAGTATAGTTTTGGCGATTCAAAAAAAAAAAAAAAAAAAAACGAAAAAAAAAAAACCTTTAACATGTGTTGGAACAAGAAACCTAAGCCAAAACAAAAATCATAAGTCCCTCCCCAGTGCTTAAAATAAACTGACATGCCTCCCCCTTTTTGCACCCCACCCCCCAACATAAGTAATGAACGGTCCCTTAATTTTTTAAAAATGTATTTGTTTACGCTGGCTATGAGTGGGCTTTCCATTGGACTACAACTTATGTAAATATAGGTGTTCTGTAACCCTTCACACTGTGTTCAAACACGACTCTCTGATCATAATCACTGGTCAATCTACGGAAACTTTTTAACCACTTTAAGTGCCTGAGAATATTTTTAAACTGTCGTACAACATCACTACATGTTTTGGTAACAGGAACATTCTGTCAGTGTTGTTTTGTAGTAATGTTTTGCAGTTTAAATGAATTGCAGGATGAGCCAAAAAGCACTTCCTCTTTTGTGGATAAGAAAGTTATTTTGTATTCTGTTTTTAAATGTAAGTATATCTCTTCTGGACCGTCTGTACGTCCTCCTTAACCACCATCTGATATCTGAGGCTTCTTTCTTGAGTGTCCAACACCTCAATAATGTCAACTTTTTTTTTTTAGCTCTCTGAGAAAGTTCAGATCAGGGTGAGCTCTCTCTGATGCTTCACTCATTACCACTTCAGATTACTGCTGACAGTCTCCCCATATCTCATCTTCTCGTTGTTAACAAATGTTCTATCCACAGCCTGTGTGTCTCTACGGCCATAAGTACATATACAGTTTGTGTGTCAATGTATGTCTTTGACCAATATAACATATGCCACACACAGTATATGTACATATACACCACATATTTAAAAATAAAGCACCAATGGCAAAAAAGAAAAAAAGCTGTAATAATCTTTTAAAAGATGTTTTCATTACACATCAGCCAGTGCATGTGATATTGATCAGTAGAGACCCAATCACTGTGACATCATGCTAACAACAACAGTCACTTGCTGGTAGACAGCTGGCAACTGATTTCAACTGTGGAGATATGTGAAAACGGCAAACTTTTTTTTTTCTGTTGTCATTTTCAGCTGTAACTGTAACATTTAAAGATATATAGTTTAGCACAGGTGTAACTGTCTGAGACATTTTTACTGAAGTTTAACTGAATTGCTTTTCATATTGTCTGTCATAAGTTTATTAACATTGGTCGCACCTGTTGCATTATGGGCTGAGGCAGTACGGCGGCAGAGAGCTAACATGGTTGCAAAAGAAGTACATATGGCCCCAAAATAATAATATTCTGCATTGTCCAAGAGGCGCACACGGTAATTATCATTTTGCACCTTTATTTGGTTTGTATCTGATTATAATATTTGTTTAAATGGCCTGTTTGGACAATTCAATATATTTTCTGTTGCTGTGCTAATTTTTTGGGACGTGTCTATTATCAGAAAACCCATGTGAGAGACTATTGTTGGGCATGTCTAAATGCTGGACATTTGTTGATAGACTCTTTAAGTAATTAAGGTATTTGTATTTCAGACCTTGTTTTTATGGTTTTTATTTTTGTAGTTTTCATGGTGTCTGTGGAGGATTTAAGGATGGAAATAAAATATTTGATTAACCAAATCTAGTACAGTACATCAGCAACTCCAGTGTTCTGTGAAGTAAAATTACTGTTTTTGTCAATGGAGACTGTTGGCTTTGAGATAACTTTAGTTCTCCGCTGGAAAGGGCTGTCTATTGGCAAGGTAAGGTAGTGAGAATATTTTAAATATAGCTTTCACTTAAACCTATATTGATTGTTTTTAGGTGGGCCTCTTTTTTGGCAGCTCCACTTAACCAACTGAGGCAGTGTTTGCTCAGCATGTTTTATTTTACGTACATGACATGGGTATTTTTCTACCCAGAGGTTACTGTTAGCAAACATCACGATTCAATCTGCAGTTGCTAAAGTGCTAAAAATTGCCAGCAATTATTGCTAACAAAGTTAGCTACTTAAAAGTAAAATATAATTTAAAAACAAGAAGCTACCAAAAGATAAAGTAAATAATTGATAAAGTTGATTGAATTAAGTTTTAATGTATTTTATTAAATGAATGGTGGTGAAGAAAAAAAATTAAATCTAAATGAAAAGTAAAAAGCTTTATATATAATTTTACACACAATTTTAATTCTTTAATTAGCTGATATTATTTTGTTCATGTATTCAGTTATATTTTTGACTTGTCTGATATTAAATTTTGTCAGTTTCAGGACTCCATACTGTTTCACAGGTGTAGTTGTAAACAGAGGTGACAGACGCAGGTGAGTCTCTGAGTTTATTTCCATCTTTAACAGAAACATGTGATGAATAATCTACTGTAACAGAGTATTACTGAGTACTAGCAGAGTAATAACAGTATCAGGTTAGTAGCAGAGATGTTTGTTAGTCACAGTGTTGTTTTAAGGCATTTCCATTGCAGATAAAGGAGCATTCCACCCAATAAAAGCTTCATCACTTTCCAGCAGCAACACTTTACTTTGAGACAATAAAAAGCAGGCGCTGCATCCGAAACCACACGCTATGCACAACATACTCAGTATGTGTAGCCTATAAGCCTTTAATATACTTTTGTGTACATAAACAGTAGTATGTGTCTTTTTGGAAGCACTGAGCCGTAATAACCATGTCACTTCCTGTGAGCCTTGCCGGTTAGAGACGCGTTACCATGGTAACCCATGCCAACTCCAGCTCTACCAGCAATTTAAAATGATGATTTAAAAATATATTTCGCTTGGCAAAGTGCAATCTTACATTTAAATTTTTAAATTTAAGTGATATTGACGGTACAGAGGTGTTTTGGTGACTGTCCACCATCATCTGTTATGAACACTGTCATCTACTGATAATTGGTCATGGACTTCCATGTCCCAATACGACGCACAAGGTACCCTGGGTGCTTTGGTTGTTAACGTTCCTGGACGCCATGTCAAGTTCTGCCTGTTACATGCATTGTTTTCTTTCAAAATACACTTCCATTTTCACAGGAAATTGACTGTTTACATACAGTCTCTTTCAAAATAAACGCACTACATTGGTACAACACCCCAAATTGACGTTTTTTTTCTCCTTCAACAACAAACACGTGTAGTTGGGTTTAGGAAAAAAGAACAAGGTTTGGCTTTAGAATCTTACGGGATATGAACACCACTTTCTTGGGCGAAAGTCAGTGTTTGTTGGACCCATTCACCACCTCTCCCGCCCACCACAGTTGGACTTTCACCGCCTAGACTTTTGTCCTTGTCACGCTGTTTCCCCCTGACGCCCCCGGGCGCAGTTAGATACCCGGCATCTAACCCACTATTATTATCAAGCTGCAATTCCTTTTATTTTCATAGTCAGTGACACAAGTTGAACCTTTGACCTCATCTTCACATTCGTCACAAACATGGAGGACTCAAGCGGTGAAACTTTGCAGGTGGTGGGACGAGCATGCTGAAATGTTTCCTAACCTGCAGTGATTGCACAAATTGTCACCATCCCAGCAATGACTGCAGCCAATGAAAGAGACTTCTCCTCCACTGGATTTGTAATTCAAGAACAGAGGACATAGCTTAATATGAGGGACTGTAGCCTCTGTGTGTTTAATCATGGGTGTTGGTCAGGTCGCAGGACTTTTATTAACGGGTGTGGGTGGGTGTGGCTTTGACTTAGACTTAATGACGGGTCGGTTCTGGTACTGAGCTTTAAGGGTATGGGTGGGTGGAAATCAGATGCAATTTGTGTACTAAGTTTTCAAACAAAACTAAATAGCATGTTAGGACGGAATTTCGGACGCAGCCAGAGTCACTTGAACATGGAGCTCATGAACGCTCTGAAAATTTACAGACTGCTGAAAAGTGTTGCGCAGACAACAGAAAAAAAAAATAACAGCTTAAAGAATCAACCACCAAAGATAAACAATAAGCAGCATAGATATTATCAAATGCAGAATGGAAGGAATATTTAAATCAGCTAATATATGTGGTTACATAAATATAAATATATGAAAAATATATGGCCATTTACACAATAAAACCTGTAAACCTGAAGTGGCTTTGTCCTTTATGTCACAGGTAAACTGGTTAAACTGAAGGCAGTCAGCAGAGTATGTTACTCACACAGAGAGCGCCCTCTATAGGAGCTCCGCTGTACTGCAGGAGGGCCGTTTAAAGGGGCAGGCTGTGTATTTGTGTTCTGACATTAAATGTTGATGTCAGCTTATGTTCAATGGTAAATTCAAGTTAATCTTTCCAGCATTTTTTTTTTTTTTTGCAATTTTGTCAAAATAAAAAATATTTTCTTTTTCATCAACAACCTTTATATTAATATATTCAAGAGGACCAAAGCAAGACTCTGACACATTTCATCTGTATTTGTGTTTTTAATGAATACATTTGTGTCTTCTGATCCACGTGGATCATGAGGGGTTTTGAATTAGTTGCTATGACGATGTTGCAGTTATGTACAAACCTTTTTTTTTGTATTTCTGGTGCAGCTGAAAGTCTCAAACACTGTACTGAGATCTGACAGTTGCTTTATGATACAGCTGTTATCAGGTGGAAAACATAAATCACCAAAAGTATTTAAGGTCTAACAGAGCAGAACAGCATTTTGTGAAAGCACCAAAGAGTTTGACTAGACTTTTGTTGAGGCTAAAAGTTGTAAAAAATGATCATAGCTCATTGAAAGGTATAAAGTAATCACAAGCATTGGAGATACATGTTTCGGGTTGCTGCGTGGATATTTCAGCTGTCGGCTCAGTAAAGTTTCGTACAAAAAATGCCCTTTAGCGAGGCAGCTTCACAGAATAAGAGCTGATTGGCTGAGAGTCAAAGCGACAGAGAAACAGTCTTAAAGGCTTTTATGGACCTCACACAGGACAGGAAACATTAAGCGCTTGGCAAAGCTTAATATTTATAATAGTGTTATGATGTAATTGCTTCTTAAAATATCAGAGTTTTCTTTGCCATTTCTTTAATGGCTGAATGTGACAAACTTTAGTTTATTTAATGCTTCTTGTTCCTGACACTTCACACTGTCAGAGGTGCCACCAAGGGGTGGCCAGGGGGGGCACAGCCACCCAGATATAATTACTGACCACCTAGACCACCTTATACTCATATGTTACTTTCATTTACAGTTCCACCTTATCATTGCTCCAAGCAAAAAAATTTCTGGTCTTACTTTTCGCCATCTCCGTAGTATTATTATCTGTAACTACAAAGCAGAAGATCTACTTCCTGTTTACATTGTTATGCACATGCCCAGTATACGTAAATGACCATGTGATAGGCGTTCTCAGGTGTGTTAGTGTGGACGGAGATTATTTCTGCAACAGTGCTAAAATGCTTTTGTGAACTAAGAGCAGAGGTTTGCATATGGACGAAAGGGACGTGTCCCGACCAATATCTTAGGAGGACAGAAATGTCCCTACCAATATTTGAGTGAACTTGTTTGGAGTATCCCCACTGTAACAGCTCTGTGCATGACAACATGGGACAAATTGTGCCTTGTACTGATTCAGCCGGATGAGAAATGTTTCAGTTAGTTTCAATATTTATCGTCTGATGAGGAGCAGCGGATGGTGGCTTAAACTTTGCCTCCAAAATGGGGATACTATCAGCAGAGCAATAACGTAATACACAGCGGACGATAGGGCAGGTAGATTCTTTTTTCTTGAAACATTTTGGCTTTATTATGGCTAAATTGCAGTTTATTACAGTATATTATATTATATTATATTATATCATATTATGTTATAATATATTATATAATATTGTATTTTCATAGTATCACAACTTTTTTCTTGACTTCTCAGAGAACACAAATACGTGGGATGTGTTTTGAATGTGCAGGAACTTTTGACATGAGCATAAATATCTCTGTAACACATAAACTATTAAAGTTCAGGGGTTTATAATTGTTATGAATTCATTTCTCACTGATGTGAAAAGGTGCCATGTGCACATTTTACTTTCCCAACCGAGAGACACTGGACAGAAATGTAAACTCTGCCAACATGTGTGGTGACTCAACAGGGACTATGTTAAATTAGAAGTTGATCTACAAGAGCAGACATATTTGAAAGCAATACCGATGCCTAAGAGCCTCACTACATTAAATTTCATTATAGTCTATTTTTATATTTTGAACTGTTACATAGAGCCTGATTTTTTTTTTACATTAATAAAGACATTTACACCATAAATTGGTGCATAAAAATCACCAGAATGCAGAAAATAAAACGTTGATGCTCAAAATTTCCTGGGGGAGAACCCCCATACTCTCCGCTTAATATGTGTCCCTCCTAATGTTGAGGTGAAACCTGCTCCCTTGGTCACTTTTTAAACTGTCTGAGTTTATTGTCCTGTTAGCGACTGAGCTAACTAACTCGCTAACAACAGCTCTTTAATGAAAGAAATGATTTACAATCCCGAGGACAAAATGCAAGAGAAAAAACATCCAGTACAGAGAAATAGAAAGAAGCATTATTGTGTCTGATCAGCACTGGCGTGTTAGTAGTTAGCTCGCCATGCAGCTACAGTGGTTCACCAGCTCATCCTGTAAGCAGTCAGTACATCACTGAGCTTCTAGACCAAAACATTTAGCGAAGACAGGGACAAATTTCGCTTCAACACTTCCTGGTGTGACCCGTCCTTCAGACAAACAAAGGCTTTTGTTACTGGAGTCACAACAGCCTTGTTGTGTTTGTGTTGAAGCGTCTGATCTCAGCAGTTTAAACACTGGAGTGGTTTCTACCTTCATGTAACATTAAACCACAGAGAGAACAGCTCAGGTAGAAACCAGGTGAACCACATTCTTTTGTTATTGAACTGTGTTTCTGCTTCCCACACAGAGCAGCAGGTCACTCCCTCCATCACCTGATCGCACACAAATGCAATATCACACAGCACTCATCATAAATGTAACCTCAGTGAGATGAAAACTTCATATCTCCTTTTTTAAACTGCTCTCCACATGTGACTGGCTTTTCAGGGCGTTTTCATACGCGCTACGATTGATTCAAACTGTCCCCGAGTTTTACTTCCCTCCCCACCCACTCCCTTGCTGCTCAGCGTTCACATTAGTAATGTTTTGTACCTGACTACACTTGCAGAGTCATCACCTGCAGGGCGGCAGTGGCTCAGGAGGTAGAGTGGGTCATCCACTAGTTGGAAAGTTGACCGTTCGATCCCCAGCTGCTATAATCTGCACGTCAAAGCATCCTTGGGCAAGACACTGATTCCCAAATTGCGTAAGTAAGAGTACCAGTGTGTGAGTGCATGTAAATGTTTAACTGAGTAGCGGGTGGCACCCTGTACGCTTCACCTTGTAAGGCAATATATGAGCACAAGTGCCATTACGTGACATTTTTGCGATGCTACAGTGTAGAAAAGGTTGCAGCAGACAGGCACTGCTGCCTCAAGGACTGTCAAATGTGGACTAGCGAGGCAAATCTCTGTTCCCACATGGAGGTAGAGCAGCTGCTGTCAGGCACTGGAGCTCTACGCTTCCTTCCCGAGCTCCAACTGCAGGTTGAAGGGAACAGTGAGGCCAGATCCGGGTCTGTCAGCGCTGGGCTGCCTTAAGGCATCGGTATTAAACTGAGACTGTTTCCTAACTTGTTAAATCACCTTGTAGTCACATTGAATAGCAGTACAAAGTACAAACACAGTACAAAGTGTTCACACTAGTCAAACAAACTGGACTTTGGGGTCAAGCGTACTCAGATCTGGGCCTGGTCCCTGATGTGAAAGCTCCCTTACATATCATGAATCTGATCTGTTCACATCTGGAGAAATTAAAAGTCCTGCTTGCTCTCAAAAAGCTATAATTTGGAGATATGAGGTTTCCATGCAATACTGAGGACATCAAATGGCACATACTGGCATGTGTTTTCAGTAAACTGTAACAGAAGAATATCTTTGGTAAGTGGTCATGGTGTCAGAGACATGACGGCCAACACAGGTGTCCACACTGAGACAATAATCAGATACAGACGGTCAGTTTAACTATAATATTTCAGTCTTAAATTTGGATACCAGCAATTCAGTTCTCCTCTTGTGAAAGATTTGTCTAGTTAAAGTATAATTCTTGATATGAAGGTTATTATTTTGTCTCATCAGGACACCTGGTGGCGCATCACGGCGTCCTAAAAGGAGGTAGAGTCTGAGTGGAACGGACAGTTCTGGAAACACAAAGAGAAACACATGAATCCCTCCAGGAGTGTTTCGTTAGTGTGGAGCACTTAATAATCAAATATTAAAGTCAGCACTGAGAAAGTTGTTACTCTCCCTTTTGTTGTGAAGTTTCAGTTTGGCATTCATTTCAGGCAATTTTCTAAATTCAGTTTTCATCATCATATAACATGCAGATTTCTCCACAACACTGGGACCTGACTACTCTGGGATCCCAGTGAGCACCACCAGAAAGATCTGTGCAGTAACTGGTTAAAAGTTGTCCTGGAGGGAGGGCATGGATTCAAAAAAAATAAAATAAAAAAAGAGAAAATGGTAGTTTGAGACAGTGTGTGTGTGTGTGTGTGTGTGTGTGTCTACAGAATGACACAGCAGCAGGTTGCTGGGTAATTGTCGGCGCTGACTTGGTTCTCGTTGCCGTAGACGTAGTAGACGTGGGAGTCGCCTTTCCACTTGTAGTTGACCTTGGTGATGGGGATCAACTCCACCGTCTGCCTCTGAGGGGCAAAGAGAGAGGGAAATGTTAAAGGAAAAGTTTCACATTTTTGGGTATCACTTGCCCTCTTTCTTTCTGAGTGTTAGAAGTTAAAAACAGTTCAAGGACAAAGCATGTGCAAATTTGCAACTTTTGTCTTCTTGTTTTTATTTACTGCACCACTGATGGCTTTGTTTGCCTTTTCATTTTCTCTTACTCTAATGTTTTTTAAATATACTCCACCATCTCCCTAATGTTTGACTTTCCCTCTGGCTGGCACCCCAGGCATCTGCCTTCATCGCCCACGGGAAGATCTGTCAGTGGTGTTAAGACTCTGACTGATGATCTGTTTACAGAGCAAACACTTCAACTTTGTGCTTCAACTGAACTGTTTTCTTTTCACATTTCAACTACTGTCTCATTTTTCAATAAACAACTCAAACTAAACTCTCTTCAGCTGAGTCCTCAGTTCAATTAAATAAGTTCACTGCAGCAGGTATGAGTCACATTTGTTTCCCCGACACATTTTAAGACTCCTAATTAATGCATGATGTTATCCTACATGAGCACTTTACACATCTTCACAGACACCATATTTATGACAGTAATGCCTGACATCACTCATTCATATCGACCTAATCTCTTCCAATCTTCCTGCACTCACATCATCTTTACTGAGAGACTGAGAAATATTTAGACTTCTATTATCCTGTTTCACTCCTGTCTCCTGACTTGATATCTGCACAAGCACTCAAAATTATGTTGCTTAGACCAGTGGTTCCCAACTGGTGGGTCACAGTCTATTCTGAATGGACTGCAAGTGACGCGCAAACATGTCAAGTTTGTAAAAAACACACTTTATTTAGAAGTACAGTGAATTTCTGGCACAGAGCTTCTATTTTGAAGTGCTGTCTTCTACTGTAGAGTGAGTGAATAATGGACAGCTATTTGACACGTACAGCAAACTAGCTCGATGACAGGGCCAAGGAGAAATCTGGACCCCCTGGCTGGATCTGTTGGACCACTGACTTAAGGCCTGTTTCCACCGAGCTGTGCGGTACAGTTCAGTTCGGTACGCTTTTTTTCCATTTCCACTGTGAAAGTTGTGGATGTTCCCAATGGAACTGTTCTGTACCGTCCTCATTTTTGGTCCCCCCTCTGTTGGGGTACCTAGCACACAGATCTGGTACTAAAAGGTGGAGCTGTGAACACTGCAGTCTGATTGGTCAGTAGAGGACGGACACTCTGCTCAGGGCTGAGCTGTGTCTGGTTTTGAGGCTCATGTAACCTCTGTTCATACTGTGGAGAGTTTTATTAGTAAACTGTAACTATAAAATTAAAGGATGTTTTGCTGCCTCTCACAGCAGCTGGAGTCTGAGAGAAAATAATTTAAGTGGGCCGACTGCCGGCAACTTTTAAGGTGGAACGTTAACTTGTAATGTTACTCAATGCATCAGCTGACGACTTGAATCCATCAACACACCTTGAATTTCACTGTGACAACTTTGACCGTCACTTTAGTTTTTATATGACATACACTTTTAGTAATGAGTGGATCTTCAAGCGTTTATGTACATTAATGTCGACCAGATTATGTGAACTGCATATATTCCAATCTTCACTCGGAGGAGAAAAAAAAGCATCAAAGAGCGTTGTTCCTGTGGGCAGGTTATAAACCCCTGAGCTTGCCTGAGAAGGACTAAATGCACAAACCGACTATTTTTAAATATCCCATGGAGAGAGACTCTCACTGCAGCCTGTTCTATTTTGTTCTGAAAATGAGCAGCCTCGTTCTGTGGACGATAAACGAGGTGCAGACTGATAAAGGAGGAAATACAGTGAGTGCTGGATGGAGCAGTGAGTGACAACAACCCCGCCCACATTTAAGATTACTGTTTGCAGTGGAACCGCTAGGGTCTAGGTACCATGTCTGAAGGGTTACTTTGGTTCCAAAGGTACCATACTGAAAGTGTTTGGTGAAACAGGGCATAAGACTACAAAGATTGATTTCATTTACAGAAATGACAAAAAAAGAGGGGCCTTAATGATAGCTGAAATACATTTTATCTTTTCATAATTTGGGTTGTTCCTGAATGTTTCAGTCATGCAGTCGTCTGCTGACCCACCTGCTGCAGGATCCTGGAGGTCTGGGCGTACTTGCTTTGGTGTTCTCTGATCAGACGGTCAGAGGCCTCAGAGATGGCTGGGTTTGGGAAGCCGATCAGTGGGTAGAGCTGAGAGGAGACAGACAGAGAGACTAACACTCAGTGCTGACAGTAAAACAGGCAGCTAACAGTAGCAACGTCCTTAAATCACCCCATGACCTCAGCTGTATTTGAGGAACATAATGAAGGGAGGAGAGTCAGGGTTTCCTGTTTGAGATAAAACAGGCAGTGAAGTGAAATCACACTGAAAAAAAAATCATGTATTCTACAGGATGAGTAGTGCCTAGCAGCACCACTCCCTATTTTTTTTACTTAAAACCTTGAGACTGTAAATTTAAATGCAATTTTAGTGTGTGTGTGTGTGTGTGTGTGTGTGTGTACCAGGTACTGGTTGTTCTTGAACAGCTCCTTCCCGCTCACTGAGCGAAGATCATCGACCTTCAGACCAGAGTTCTGCTCGATCACGTGGTCCTCCACATTGTTAGTCCTTAAACACACACATACACAAATACACTGTATTTACAAGGCATTTATTCATATAAAAAACACACACACAGGTAATCATATACACACATACATAATTTTAATCAGTTATTTAAATTGGAAACAGTGTGAAGAATTCTATCAGGTTAAATTAACATCATGCAGGTATTTATCTTTCCACCACCAGAGGTCACCAAAGTCTGATCTATGACATCACCACTGCTCACCAGATCCTTTTGATAATTTATGAAACTACATTAAAGCCACTGTGTGTAAAATTTAAACAACAAATTTAAAATCATTTTTATGTCATGAGGTTTTGTCAAGGACCATTAGAACCTCGTCAGTGACCCTTGGAACCTCCTCAATGACCACTGGAGGAGCTCTGAAATCCCCAATGAGCCCTAGAAGTTATTTAAAGCTCTACAACCCCCCCTCAAGGACCACTGAAACAACTTATGATATAATTCAGGATCACTGAAAACTCTGCAACAACCCCAGGAACCTCCTTCAGGACTACAGAAACATATTCAGGGACTACTGGAACATCTCCCAGGACCACTGGAATATCAAGGACTCAGGGAACCTTCTACAGGACCCTTGGAAACCTTTGGAATCCCTCAAAAGACCACGGGAAAATCTTCAAGAAGCTCTGGAATCCCAAATAAGCCCTGGAAGTGATTTAAGGCCTAGGGACCCCTCTCAGGGACCAGTGGAAAATCTTCCAGAACCATTGTGACATACTCAAGGACCACTAAAATCTTCACAATGACCCCATGAACCTCCTTTAGGACCACTGGCACATTTTTAGTGGACCTGAAATATCTCCAAGGACCACTAGAAACCTTCTCAAGAACCTTTGGAAACCCCTGGAACATCCCCATAGTCTACTAGAAAATCTTGAAGGAGCTCTGGAATCCCTCATGAGCCCTGGAAGCTATTTATGGCCCCATGGACCCCCTCAAAGACCAATGGAAAACTTTCCTGGAACATTGTGGAATATTCCAGGACCACCTCAGCAATGACCCCAGGAACCTCCTTCTAGGACCACTGGAATATCAGGGACACAGGGAACCTTCTCAAGGACTGCTGAAACCCCCTCAAAGACCCCTGGAAGGTCTCCTGGAATGTCCTTTAAATCCTCTCAAGAACCCTATATAACATCTTCAAGGACCTCTGGGACAATCAATGGCCTGAGAAACTCCATAAGGTCACTTAGAACCTCCTCAAGTACGTCTGCAACACCCTCAAGGTCTCAGCAAACCTCCTCAAGGACCTTTGAAGCCCCTCAAAGACCCCAGGACACTTTTCATTGACTTCTTAAACTTCATCTCCATTGACTCCTGAAAACCTAATGAAACATTATAATGATCTCTGGAACCACAAGCAAACCCTTGAACCTCTTCAAGGCTCCATAGAAGCTTCTCAAGGACCACTGGAATCTAGAACTCCAGGACCGGACCCCATAACAGCCGTAGTATCAGTACTCACCACTCCACTTTGAGCTTGATGTAGGTCAGCAGCTGTCGCTTTCCTTCACAGGTCTCACACTCCTTCGTTCCCCGATTATCACACTTGTTACAGCTACACACACACACACACACACACACACACACACACACACACACACACACACACGGTCAGACATGACACACATGTTTCACATTCTTCAGTGATATGATCGCAGTGTATTGACAGTACAGTGCCATTTAAAGGGCCATACCGCTTTTTCTCATGTTCTCTCTCACAGTTAGTCAAAGTGTGGCCCACTGCCTAGTGGCGGCCCTCAGAAACATTTTGTGCGGCTCCTTAACATGACATGAAATACATGTATTAACCATCCGCGACCCATTTCAATACTTTAACCTTCAGTAGCTTACATTTAAAGGCATACTACGTCACACGGAATTAATCACTCTCAGTCAATACTTAGGACCCCGCTAGTAGAGTGTGCCGGTGTCTGTATCTACAGAGAACCTGCCCTCTGCCTGTGTTTTCTTATTTTCTGGAAGCGTATACTTTCAAGCATGTACTTGAAATTGCCATCATGGAGGCGAAGCTCCTGGACCAACTGGTGGTGCTCAGTCGCTCTGTAGGACCAGAGGACTCCCTGTAGTTAGAAGTCATTTTTTGTTATGCTCAGCCTGACGATAGACAGCAGGTTGTCAAACTGCCCTTGAGTCATCCTAAAATATGCCTGGGAAATGACACCATCATGGAGGAGAAGCTCCTGGACCAAGTGGTGGTACCCCCATGATCCTCCCTTTTGTTAAGGGTCTCATGTACCCACACAGATCTCTGTCTTCCTGTGTCCAACAAACTATTTACTGACAGCCTCTCACCCTCAGCCAGAGCTACAGCAAGTACCCTCTGCCTCAACATTTTAGGGACTAGATACTGATTCCTGTGAAATAAATAATAAACAATAGATTCATTGTACGGGAAGGTTAGGGTAAGTAGGTGATGGGGTGGTTGCCTGGCAACAATAAAAAGGCGCAGCAAGTGTTTTTCTACTAGTGGCATTTGATTAAAATAAATAAAAGCCATGGCGTGTGCCTCGTGTTAAGCAAACTGCAAAATGCTTTCTGTGTGATCCTGTGTAATTGGGGCCTAAAAACATAGCGACCAGTCGACTCGAAGGGCGAAGCTGAGCCACACATGCACTCCTGCATAGTATGCCTTTAATACTCTGCTCGGCTACTGCATCAAATTGCACCGCTCTGATTTAACTCTGTCATGTTAAGAATGAAAACTTGAAAGCAACAGGTTGCATGGCAGCTAGTGGCACCTTGTGAGTGTCGCTGGAATTAACGTCATTGATGCTACCTCTGTTATCTTAAGTTAGCGATTTCGGTGGACAGTCCGCAGTTTAACATGGACGAGAGCTGGAAAAGCCACTACGGAAATAAATGCTGTATGGTTGAGGAGAAAAGGAAATTTCAGTTTATCAAGTCGTCGGCCTCATTCTCCGTCCTTGAAGGCATCGCTGCAGGGAGATTTCATAGCGGGATTTGTAGTGAACGGATCAAACATGCAGAAAAAGAAGCCTGGCCCTTTTAGTGTGGTCATTTGTGGATCGTAGAGAATGGACAGGGAAAGAGACGGGGATGACATGCAAAAATGGTCACAAATTAGACTTGAAGAAATGTCTTATGGTTATAATCCTTAGGATTTTCATTAAATCAAACTTTGTTTTTTTATTTTTTTAAGCAACAGTCATTCAGTGTATTTATATTCTGTAATAAGGTCTTGTAGTTTACAGTGGTGAAGTACACCATTCACGCCCTGGATTCTTCCCACACACAAGGGATTCAAAGAAACTTAAATCTTAAGGATTAAAACTTTAAACCCCTGAGTCAGCGTTTCCAACCTTTTTGGCATGTGACCCCCGTAAGAGAGAGACATATACATAAATCTGATAAAGCATGACAGAAAACGTGACATTTCTCTTTCATTACTTGTCTTTGCCTGTAGCGTTGCAGCGAGAGCAGCTCTCATTATCCCTCATTCCAGTGCCGTTACACACCCAGCATGGTTTCTACAGACAGAGACACACACACACACACACACACAATTATATTTGTTGATTAATCTACTACATCTTCATCTTCTGATATTATATCCTCATCAAACTTCTCCTGTCTTCAGTGTTGTTATATATGTGTAAACTGTAATCACTGTAGTTTACTGTTACTGATTATATGAACGAGTGATTGAGTCTTCTTACTCCACTTCCCTGGCACTCATCGCACGGCATCAACCCCGTGGCATGGCAGCTGAAGCACTCCTAAAACACACACATACATACACACACACATGCAAAGTTAAAAATACATTTACTGTCTGTTGGAGTCACACTAACGCACTGGCTGCACCCCAAATTCCATACTAACACGCTACTTAGCATGTTAAAACAGTATGGGAGAGTTTTTAGTTTGTAAGCAAACACTTAACCCTACGCCAGCATAAATATCCCATAATGCAATGCAGCAGACAGCAACGTTCATAACAGACAATAGTGGACAGCGACTGAGGCAGCTCTGTAACATCAATAACACTTTCATTTAAGTGTAAATATGTAAGAACATTTCACTTTTTAAATTGCCAGTAGAGCTGAGGCTGGGACAGGTTACCAAGGTTGCATGTCAATTGACAGGAAGGCTTTGAGGAAGTGCGTGGTAATTACAATTCAGTGTGTCCGAAACACAAATGTATAAAGAGAAGTGGATAATGTGCTGAAGGGTGGGCCCCATTCATTCAGGCACTACTTCCTCATTACTGGGAGTGGAGCAGGTACATTAGACTTCTGGAGACTTTCAGTTTAGTGCTCTGTTAACTTGAATGGGGATACAATGATTCAATAGTGCAGCTGCTGTAAACTTTACATACAGTACATTATCGGACCAAATGGATCAAATCCTGATAATCCTCAAATTCCCCTGATTTACAGACCTCTCTCGCACAACATACTGACCCAAAATCAAAATACAATTAAAAATTCTTCCATAACTTTTTGTATAGGCCCAGTTAATATCAGTGATAATATGGGGTTGTCACAAAATCCCATGACACACCTCAATCTGCATCATGGCACACCATTTGAGAATCACTGAACTAACTCAAGACCCTCTAGAACTACAATAAACCTCTAGGACCCTCTCAGAACAACCGAGGAACCTCTTCAGGGGTCTCTGACACCGCCAACAGCTCCTGGGAGCTCTTTAAGGCTCCATGGAACCCTCCTAAGGGACCACTGTGACAGGCTTGACACAGCTTAAAAAGGACCATCCAGTATTTTTCATCTTGCATCCTGTTTTCCCATGTTGTGGTGTCTGAGTGACTGATGGAGACGACAGTTTTTGAAAGTGGTCCATTACTGAGAGGGAGCGCTACAGCTGGCAGCAGCCAAAAAGGGTCAGTGTAACCACCCCTTCAATTTCTGTTCATTCAAAGTGTTTGGTTTTGCCACTAACAGGTTTAGATTGTTATTATGAGTATCTTACAACATTATGAAAGAACCCTTCAGAGAAATGAGTCTTTAGCTTCTTCCTTTCTGTTTTGTTTCCAAGTTTCACTATGAAATCACTTTTTCACACCGTTGGAATCAGCTTAATATTCTGCCATGACATTAAAAATCTTTCAGATAAGAGTAAGATACTCTCCGTACTCAAACACAACAAACTTTCACCGGCACTCCTCTCTCCAACTCTCATATTTCCACTGTTTTCTTCCAACAACAAGTTACCTCTCGTATGATTTCATAATGAAACTTATCATTAGCGAGGTTTAACACAAAACAGACCGGAACAAGCGAAAGCTACGGAAAAACTTTTCCTTTCTCTGAAGGGTCCTTTCCGTAACTTTGTGCGACACTTATAATAACAATCTGAGCCCGTTAGTGTCAAAAACAAACAGTTTTAATGGACACAAATTAATGGACCACACCTGCCCAGAGTGGTTACTAGGGCCCGACCGATTTATCGGCTGGCCGATTTAATGGGCTGATTATAGCCATTAGAGAATAATCGGCAATTTTCATCACTAAAAAAAAGCTGGGAATATGGTGTTAAACCTACCTCTGTTAAATTGGCAATAATAAGAAGAACTCTGGTACTGTGAACATACATCTGAATGTCTTAATTCATATAGACTTTACATGATTATTTTATTTCCCAAAGGTTTACTGCCTTTTTGCACATCATATTTTTGATTTATTTTGTATTCAAATTGTTCATATGCTGCTTGTTCCACACAATTTCTGATAATAAAAGTATTTGAAAATAGTAAAATGTTCTTCCTTCAATTTATATCTTTGTAACGAGTGTTTGAACTATATTTAAGCCATCAAAAGCAGGTATTTCTGGGTTTTTTAAATTGAAAAACGTAAAAATTTAATCGGCCGATATATCGGTTATCAGATTTTTTTATTCCATAATATCGGAATCGGCATCAGCCCCAAAAAATCCATATCGGTTGGGCCCTACTGGTTACATTGCAGCCTGTTTCGTCGCTGCCAGCAGTGCTCTCTCAAATACTGAACCAATTTCAGAAATTATTGTTTCCACGAGACAAAAACAAGGTCCATGTTGAGAGTTCTCCTCTATGAACACCTGGAACCTATTCAAGGACCCCTAGAAGCTTTTCAGAGACCTATGGGACCTCCTCAAGCACCATCTGAATCCTCTCACCCTTGAATGTTTTTCTCAAGGACCTCTATCACCTCCTCAAAAACTCCAAAAATATTCATCCTCTAAACTCAGAGAAACCTGCTCTCTGATTGGCTCAATTGGCCGTCAGCTGTATGTTAAAATCAAACAATGTTCAGGTCAACAGTTACATGACACAGCAGGTTACTATGGCAACATGGATATCTCCTATTAACCGATTACCCGGATGGAGGAGGTGTAGGGCACGCGGATCTCCTCTGTGAGATTAATAAAGAGGCTGGGAGTCTTGGTGGCCTGGATCTCCCAGGGCCGGGGGGCGGTCTGGGTGTAGAAGTCAGCCGGCTCACCTGTGAATCACACAAGAGAGACGTCACACCCACCTGTTAATCAAAAACACCTGACACCTGCTGCCATAGTAATGTCATCTGGGTTATCTCAGCCTGGACTTGGACACTTGACACTAGATTTATAAGTCAAGATGTGCCTGTCTAAGGGCTGATACATGTCATGTCTTTTACCACCGGGAGAATGTATGGTTGGGTGTTGGGTGCTACTCTTGTGCCAACTTTTAAGGGTGCAGAGGCAGGTGGCGCCTCCTGTTGCTATGTGACCATAACCTGCTAATTAGAAATCCCGAGTTCTTCCAGGTGATGTTCTTTAAGTGTGTAAGCAATTAAAATATCATCCTTGGTGTGGGACAGGTTGTGCAGCTTTGGGCAGACCTACACTAAAGTGATGAACATGATATGACAACTTTGTCTATCTCAGGGCGCAGGTGTAGCACCCTGACAAATAGGTACTTGGAAGTGCTTGCGTGCCACCATGGCGTCACTCTTGCTTTTGAACACACAATCCACGGGTCTACATACGTACATACAACAATGGATGTGAGGGTGCAAAAAATGCCGCATGTGAATGGCTCCTAACAGGCAGAAAGATGATAATCTAATGAAAGACACTACCCAAGTGTATTATGGGAAATAAAGGTTTGTGGAATTTGAGCCATACTAAGGACTAAAGCTGAGGATATCACGGGCTCTGCTGCACAGATTTTAACCATTTTTGTCCGTCAAAAACAACTTCATGAAAATGAAACACTGAATCATTGGAGGACTGATTTAATGTGACTGAGAACTGTTTCTCCTGTTGGTGTGTTCAAAGACACTCAGGTATCTGTTGTATGAGATTAGGTTGTTAGAAAGCAACCTTTTAATACAAGAAACAACCAAATTCACATCAGTATTTCATCACATGGTGATTGTTCTGCCTATTTGTTTGTCTTACTGAGCAACATCCAGAACAACTCTTTATGCTTAACTCACTTCTTCAAAGAGCTGTTTGAAGGTTCAGACTTTGTTTCAGGATTAAAGAACACATGACGCAGGCACTTAAACTTCCTGGGAAACAATTCATTTCCATCAGCTCTACTTGCGATGTGTGTGCACTAGTGTGTTTAACCAAAAAGTCAAACCAATCAAGTCACCATAAATTGTCCCATCTTTCTGTCTGTGTTAGGTCAAAAACCAACCTGCCTTTCTCGCAACAACTGATGTATCCCATTGGTTTACACTCATTAACTTACAGGAATTAAATAACATTAAAGGGACAGTTTGGCCCAAAATCAATAATAGTAATCAATAATCAAAAATACCTTCTCTCCAATATAATGGAACTAGATGGCACTCAGCTTGTGGTGCTCAAAGTGCCAAAAAAATACATTTGAAAAACTCAACAGCAATGTCTTTTTCTAGAAATCATGATCTGGTTACTCAAGATAATCAACAGACCTTGCTGTGAGCAGTTTCAAGTGGGAACTATTTTCTTTTTACCACACTACACCAGCCAACCGTAACCCCTAGCACCACTGAGCTAGCTATCGTTACAGCTCAGCTGAGGAGGATGCCACTAATGTTTACATCTCTTGCTGTCACGACTATTTACCTCTCGTTCATAAGTAAATGCACACTTCCTTCTGTGCAGTGACACACTTAGTGGGTGCAGTTTGGTAGAAAGAAAATAGTTCCCATATGTAACTGCTCACAACAAGGTCTGTGGATTATTCTGAGTAGAAGGGTCATGATTTCTGGAAAGAGACATTGCTGTTGAGTTTTTCAAATGTATTTTTTGGCGCTTAGAGTACCGCAGGCTGAATGCCATCTAGTTCCATTAAATTGGAGGGAAGGCAGACAAAAAAAAATCCAGATCTATAAAGGCACCACAGGTAAGAGGAAAAGTATCTTTGATTTGGGGGCAGGGGTCGCGTTAACCGGATATTCTCGGTCATTGACCGTTTTTTTACAACAATGACCGGAAAATCTGAAGGCCGTCGGTCATTTTGACCGGTTGCAATTGGTATTTTCTCCTCACGTTCCTCAGTGCACGCTGTTGTTATTTTATTTTGAAAATTGGCCGGATTCTCTCGTCTTTTCTGTGTCCGACTTCCTGTTTGGTACTATCCGCTCTATCCAGCTTGACAGAAGAGCTCGCGGCTCACGTGATAAATAGACCAGACGGCCGAACTGCGGTGTGTGGATGTCTGTTCATCTTTTCGTTCATGTCCTTATTAATGCACACTTTATAACTTGCTTGTTGGATTTATTAAAAACAAACGAATGAAAACTAAATGTCTTTGAATATCTTTATTATCATTTAAAAACGAAAATTAAAATGACCGGTAAAAATAGATTATGACCGGATGTTTATGACCCTGTCGGTCAAAATGACCGGCAACGAAAAAGTCTAGCGCAATGTCTGTTTGGGGGTGAACTGTCCCTAAGGATGCAATGACACCAATTCACTGCACTTTCATGCTCAGAACAGAGTTCAAGTTGAACAAACAAACATAACAGCATCATGCATAATTAAAATATAATGCACGCATTTCATGTCATGTTTGGGGCCAACACCAGCCAGCAGGCCACACGTACTAAATGGTACTGTACTGTCAATACACTGCGATCATATTACTTAAGAATGTGAAACGTGTGTCATATCTGACTCTGTGTGTGTGTGTGTACCTTCATGAGGTTTGTGGGCCCACTCAGTTGACCTGGACTCAGTAAACGTCTCCAGTCGATACTGCAGAACAGAAAACACACATCAGTTATAGACACTACACGTGCAGAGTTTCAACTGTGGTACAAATAGAAACAATAACAACATAATTATAATTTTTTAAAGTAAAAGATAATCACAAAGATAAAGGTAAAAGAAACAGAAACAGAGCAATGGTTATGTTAAAATAAGTGGAATTAGGAAACTGAATTCAGAGAGGACAGATGGTCCAGTCACGCTCCGTTCAACATTCAAAATAGATTACATGATTTTGATTTTATTTTATTCAGTTTGACTTACACTTCAGGAGGATCTCTAAATAATCGTCCATAAATCAGCTTAGAAATCATAGAAAAAATATGCTTCTCGTGACTCCAGATCTTGCTTGAGAATCATCACATTTTTTTTTTTTTTAAAGATATTTTTTGGGGCATTTTAGCCTTTAATTGATAGGACAGCTTAAGTGTGAAAGGGGGAGAGAGAGAGAGAGAGAGGGAAGGACATGCAGCAAAGGGCCACAGGCCGGAGTCAAACCCGGGCTGCCGCAGCAAATGCCTTGTACATGGGGCGCCTGCTCTACCACTAAGCCACCGACGCCCCAGAATCATCACATTTTTAAGTTTTCTTCAGTATCAAACTGATCCAGTATTAACTGTCCGAACATCTATGGGAACGTTTCAAACAAGAACTACCAACATCTAATTCAGCATAACCTTTAAAACTCAAGTTGTGCCCACAGCTAACTGACTGACTCTGTGGTCAAACATTATGAGAAATGAGGAGCCAACTCATAGAGCATGGAAATCCCCCAAATTAAAGCTAGACAAAGAATAATAAGGGAGGGGAGGGTGTTATCGAGGGGTGTTGGAGGGCTCAGCTGTCTTAATTTAAGACTGGTGTCAGACTTTGAAAACGCCCTGGTCCACACTGCTGATGCTTCATCAGTTCCCTATTTTTCCACCATTACAGTTTGTTCACATTTTAATGTCGCATGAGAGTCTCTGAGGTCCAATGACAGTCATGTGAGAGTCATCAGAGTCCCACAATTAAAGTGTTTATAAACTGCCGTGACGTGATGTCATACTGTCCTTAAACTGTCTCTGTGTGGACACATGCAGTCCTTCAAACGTGCAGCACGGAGAGGCAGCAGAGACCTGATACTCCGTGTGTCCCTGGTATGAACATATGATATGTGATCTGGGTGAAGAAGATTGCACATGTAAAAGAAGCAGAACTAACTACATTCAAAATGTGATCATATGGCCCTGACCACAATGTGATCAGATCACAGTCGCTCCTTTCAGTAGTCTGGCCTGCTGGTCTTATGTATGATTTTATTTTTTTTTATTCTTACTTCGTTTATTGGTTTAACTCACGTCTTATTATAATTTTAACTGTCAACTGTTGGTCTTTATTATTGTATTATTTCATTCTTACTTTTTTGATGGTTTTACTGTCTTATTAAAGCTGGGGTAGGAAGTTTTATTTTGGCGTCATTGGGCAAAAATCCCATGACAAACTTTGAGCACATTGTAATTTAAGTAGACGTCTGCACCTCCTCTCAGCTCTGAGAGGAGGCTAGATTTTCTAAAGCCTGTGACGGGAGACTTTGGCCAATCACAGGCCATTTTGGAGTGAGGGTGTTACGATTGGCTGCTCCAAAAGATGTAATGGCGGAGAACCCTGCAGATAAAGTTGCTATTCCAGCATCGGCTACAACTGTGAACACTGCAAAGCAACTTAAAACAGGAAAACGGATTTATAAAAAAGAGAGCTGAATACAGAGACTGACAATAAACAAAATAAAAAAGGGTGTTAATATCTGCAAAGCACATCAACACATTCTCACTACAACCTCGTCACATGGACGTTTGGTCATGGACTTTGCACGTCCAGATATAACGTGAAAGGTACCCAGGTGCGTTGGTTGTTTACATTCTAGGACGTGGTGTCAAGTTCTGCCTGTTACATGCATTGTGTTCTTTCAAAATATAGTTCTGTTTTTACAGGGAATTTAATGTTTACATACAGTGTCTTTCAAAATAAAAGTACAACAATGCAAATGGACGTTATTTTTCCTTCTAACAACTAACACATGTGGTTGGGTTTCGGGAAAAAGAACATGGTTTGGCTTTAGAATCTTATGGGACATGAACACAACTCTCCCGGGTGAAAGTCAGTGTTTGTTGGACCCATCCACCACTCCTCCCACCCACCTAACTCGGACTTTCACTGCCTTAACTTTCCTTCTTGTCCTGCAGCGTTTCCCCCCAAACACCGTTAAACTATAATTACGAGCAACCCTGAATCATGTCGACATTTAAGGACGGCTTTTTTCATCAGTGTCTGACGCCGCAAATCACTACCCAAGCGCCGAAGTAGACAACTTCTGAGTGAGGCCGGTTCTGGAATTCTCTTCCACAAAAACTACGGTCTGCTACAACAGTGTTCTCTTTTAAAAGCAAACTAAAAACATATCTTTTTTGACAAGCTGTTAGTTGGTTTTTAGGTGTTTTGTAGTGTTAAGAATAATGATAATTATAGTACCTTCTTATTTTGTCTGTTTTTATCATGTCATGTGTAATACATCATTATTTTATATCATATTTTATGTTTGCCATGTATGATGTATCTTAAGCACACTGAGTTAACGCTCATTGTATAAAATGTGCTATATGAAAAAAGTTGACTTGACTTGACACCTTTTCTGCTTTGAGAATCTTTGGCAGGAAACTGAGCATCAGATGGAATCTTTAAGCTTCCTTTGTTAAACTCACAGCCTGTGAACGTTGACTGCGAGCGGTGTCTTTGTAACAAACCTGTGCTTAAAGAGCGGAAAACCCGGAGACATCTGCACTCCTGAGGGCCCTGACTCTATCATAAGGCTGTGAACAGGAAGCCAAAAAGCAGTTAAAGTCAGTCGGTTTTTAGACTAATCTCTTTTGAGAAATCATCTCACACTATGGCACACAACTGATACAGACTCACACACCTCATACAGACTCTACACCTCAGGGTAGGATAACCTGCGTAGGAACCTTCCTCCATGAGAGACACTGACATAAGTTAAAATTATTACTTTAAGTATTCATGCAATTACTTAAATAACTTTATTTGAGCTAACTGGTGAAAATAAATTCGCTACCAAATTAAGAGGTGGTCTGGTCTGCTGTTGATCTTAATTATTTTCATTTTAATTCATACTTCTTCACATGTATTATGTGTAACGTTTTATCTTTACACTGTCACATCGTGTCAACTCACGTGTTAGCTCACGCGACTTGTGATTCCACCTGAAATGTAATGTGCTACAAATAAAATTTTGCTTTTGCCTCATTGGTTCTGGGCAGACAGAGCACGACTGGAGCACCCTTCAGTAACAAACACACCAGTAACAGCATCATAAAGAGTGTGAACGTCAGGTCACCCTGTAGGTGTTGAACGGCTCCATGCTGGTGATGACTCCATCTTTGGCAGGACTTTCACTGTAGCAACACTGAGAATTCGCAAAGCTCTTGAAAGCCTCACGAGCCACGTCCTCTGACAGAGTGGGGATGCTGCAACACACACACACACACACACACACACACACAGATTCACATCATGAGTTAAACCAGAATACTTCTGAACGCCATTTTTTAATCTAACAAACACAGAGCCACATCAACATGTCATGATTGGCTGGTGAGATAGGTGATGTCAGGCCTTACTTCCAGTCCTCAGGTACAGGGCCAGGTTGGGGCGGGGCTATGGGCTCCATGGGCATAGGAGGGGGCAGGTAACCTCCTGCAGCAACAAAAATAAACCTTCATTGTTCATTTCAGATTGGGAATGTGGGAGAGTGAGGAGGGATGACATGCAACAAAGTGCCAGGGGCTGGAATCGAACCCGAACCTCTGCGGTGGACTCAGCCTGTATGGGGCCCACACTCTACCAGGTGAACTAAAGGTGGCCCCAGAAACACAAAGTTTAAGCTGTTGCAGCTACATGAATGTTATGTGAAGAGTTGTAGGCTGGACTCCTCTTACCTCCTCCTGCCACAGTGCCTTCGTAGCCGGGCACATTTCCAAACATGTTGGCCGCAGGGGCGGAGGGAGGGGGATACACAGCTGGAATAAATAACAGGAAACAGTTCAAAATAAGTGAAAACACTTGTTTAGGTGGAGTGAGGACACGCAAGGCCTTTAAAGGAAAAGCTCAACATTCTGGGAAATACTCTTGTTTTCTTTCTTGCACTGGAGCTGGATGAGAAAATCGATACCACTGTAATTGTTCGGTAAACATGAAGCTAGAGCCAGCAGCTAGTTAGCTTAGCTCAGCATAAAGACAGGAAAGGAAAGGAAAGGAAAGGAAAGGAAAGGAAAGGAAAGGAGGTGGTCATGAAGGGGAGAAGGGGGTATGAAAGGAGAAAAGAAGCTAGAGAGGGGCCGGAGAAGGTAGGAAAAGAAAGGAGGAGCTATAGAAGGAGAGATGTAGGAAAGGAAAATAGTAGATACAGTTGAAATTAAGTAGATAGGCAAGTAAAAGAGGACGTAGGACAGGATAGGACAGGATGTGGCTACGAAGGGTAGAAAGAGGTATGTAAGGACAGATAAGCTAGATAAGGAGACAAGAGGATAGAAAAGGAGGAGGTATATTAGGAGAGGAGAAGGTAGGAGAGGGAATAGAGAAGGGGAGGAGGTAAGAAAGGAAATGCGGAGATAGAGAGGAAAAGAAGTAGATAAGAAAAGAAAAGAGGAAGTAGGAAGGGACAGGAGGAGGTAGGACAGGAAAAAAATAGGTACGGAAGGAAAAGGTAAGGTTAAGAAGATAAGGAAGAAGTACAGATAGAGAGAAGGAGGTAGGATAGGAAAGAAAAGGAAAGGAAAGGAAGCAAAACAAGACATAACATAACAAAACAAAAGGAAAGGGAGTGGTTATGAAGGAAAGAAAGGGAAATGAAAGGACATATGTAACTAGAGAAGGAGATGAGAGGGTAGGAAAGAAAGGGAGAAGGCACAAAAGGAGAGAGGAGGGTAGGAGAGGGGATAGAAAGGAAATGAGGAAGTAGGGGAGGGCGAGAGAGAAGATGTAGGAAAGGAAAGTGGGAAACACAATGGAAAAGGAGTAGACAGGAAAAGAGAAGAGAAAGTAGGAAAGGAGAGGAGGAGGTAAAGAAGGCAAAGAGGAGGCAGAGGAGTGGATAAGATAAAGGACAGGAGGAGGAAGGAGGACAGAAAAATAACAAAGAAAAGAAGATGGTAAGGAAGGAAAGGGAAAGGTACAGATGGAGAGGAGAAGGTAGGAAAGCAAAAGAGAGAGAGAGATTTTGCAGGGGTGGTGGAGGAAGTAAGAAAAAAGAGGAGGGAAGGAGGAGAAGGTACAAAAGGACAGGAGATGAAGAGGGAGAGGAGGTAGGGAAGGAAATGAGGTAGGAAACAGATGGAAGAAAAGGTGTAGGAAAGAAAAACATGAGAGACAAAAGAAAGGATTTTATAGGAAAAGAAAGGGGAAGTCAGAAAGGAAAGGAGGGGCAAAGAAGGTGAAGAGGAGGAGAAAGGAAAGGAAAGGAAAGGAAAGGAAAGAAAAGGAAAGGGAGCAAAACATAACATAACATAATAAAAAGACAGGATGTGGTTATGAACGGAAAGGGGGTATGAAAGGACATATGTAGCTAGAGAAGGAAACAGAGGGTAGGAATGAAAAGGAGGATGTATAGTAAGAGAGGAGAAAGTAGGAGAGGGGATAGAGAAGGGTAGGAGGTGAGAAAGGAAAGGAGAAGGTGAAGGTGGAGGAAAAGACGCAGGAAAGGAGAGGAGGAGATACAGAGGACAAGGAGTAGATAGAACTAGAAAAGAGAAAGTAGGAAAGGAGAGGAGGAGGCAAAGTGGAGGCAGAGGAGATAAAGGACAGGAGGAGGTAGGACTGGAAAAAAGGAAGGGAGAAGGTTTAGAAAGAAAGACAGAAGTACAGATGGAGAGAAGGAGGTAGGAAAGGAAAGGAAAGGAAAGGAAAGGAAAGGAAAGGAAAGGAAAGGAGGTTGTTATGACGGGGGAGAAGGAGGCTAGAGAAGGAGATGAGAAAGTAAGAAAAGAAAGGAGGAGATACAGAAGGAGAGGAGAAGGTAGGAAAGAAGGAAGGATGAGAAAGGAAAGAAGGAGGTACAAAACAGGTGGAAGAAGAGGTGTAGGAAAGGAAACAGGAGATACACAGGGAAAGGGAGTAGACAGGGAAAGAAGAAGGAAGTCAGAGAGGACAGGAGGGGGCAAATAAGGCAAAGAGGAAGTAGAGGAGTGGAGGAGATATAGAAGGGCAGGGAGAGGGTAAAGAAGGAAAGGAAAGGAGGCGGGGCAGGAATAAAAGAGGAAGAGAAAAATCAGTGTGTTTCTGTTCATTATAATGTTCATATTCACATTATAGTTCCGCATTTTCACGTCCCATTTTACAGCAGTTTAAATAAAGAATATGTGTTGACTATACAGAGAAGAGATCTGAGACTTGAACGGAGACATTTAATGAATTAAATTTAACTAATAAAGTGTTTTTTCTTTAATATTCCAGCCCATATCAGATCATTTCTACTCACAATCTGTTTAAAAGCTGCAAAATCTTTAATCCAATTATAATCGAGGGGCGAGTCCACTTGCAGACATCACCTCCACCAGGTCTAATAAAACCCCGCCACACTTTGACACCTTAAGCCGGGTTTAAATGTACTCCAGTAAACAGAATACAGATTTATAACGTGTTGAAGTTGTATTTGTTTCTTTATGTAAGTGTTTGCGGGAAGCTGCAGCCGTGCACTCCTCCGCCTCCGCCTCCTCCTGCTCCTGCAGCCTGACGGTGTCCTGCAGCAGCAGCTGGGTGGTGTTATGGTCAGTGTGGTGACCTGTGTCATGTTGTGTCCTGTGGAGTGTGTCAGTTCCTACCTGCGCTCATCCTGCTGCTGTTTGATCAGTTACCGTATCAATAATCCAGACAGTCTTCCCGTTAGCTCCACACCACCGTTACAAGGGTCCACCTTATTTTTATACAGTATCGGGTCCACACAGCGACAACAGGGCACGACATCCGGTGAAACTTTAAAAAATAAAAGTCTAACTAACTTGACTTTTCAAATCTTTTTTCTCTCTCCAGATTTTTACCACTTAAATAACACAGATGTTTAATCTTAATAAGGATTTTTCTTAGTGCCCAATGTGTCTGAAATATATTGTGAAATAAATATCGACACATTTTGAAAATAGGTCTACAACCCACCATATATAAAGTTAAATATGATATGAAATGAAGTAGAGGTGCAGAGTACAAATGAGGAAGAAACACATTAATGATCAGGGTATCAGTTATGTAATTTAAATTAGGAGCAATGAAGCATTTTTTCCTAGTGTATTATTTTCTTATTTTTATATATTCTAAGAGAGAATGGTGTCTGTATCTGTCTTGTAAATGCACTAATTTTCATCATCATTTCATTGCATTTGTATATTTACCAATACTTTCTTTATTCATATGTATTTACTTATGATCTTTGCAAACTGACACCACCCTTAATAAAATGCTTTAACTAGAAGCTATGAAATAATATATGGAAAGGTGCATCAGTGTCAGGGACTGTTTGTTATTAATGAGGGGTAGGGGTGGTGCAAAAAGGGAAGGACATGTTAAATTATTTTTTGAGCACTGGGGAGGGGCTTATGTTTTTTTATTTTTGTTAAGGTGAGGACCATACAAATTTAGATGATTCTATTTCAATCTATTGAAACAGGAGGAAGGCATGTTTCTGAGTTTAAAAAATTGTCAAAATTACACCATTTATTACAGCCAGAAACTGTAAAAACAGAAATAATCATTGGATTTCCAAGTTTCTGATGGCCCTTGGACAAATCATATGCAATTAACACTTCCATCAGAAAAAACATAACCAAATCTGAACTTAAAATAGCGATAGTTCATCAAAATTACTTTATCATATGGTTATAGTTTAAAATATAAACAATTTGCACAAACTAACCAGCACAACAAAAGTGAAAACCAAGGCTTTTTTTTAAACTCCAGGATTTCATCTTCAACTTTTAGTCCAGTTCAGACTAAAACAGAGAGCTCGGCAGGTATGGAGCACCTGCCGCAGTGAGCAAACACGCCATCTGCGATCATTTTAACTTGATGAGCAGACTTTACTGCAAGGCTGTTGAAACAGGTGACTGATTTACATTCTAAAACCAGCCATCGGTGATTTGACCAGCTGAGCTGCAGTTGACACCATCAACCAGCTTGAGTTGAGCTCAGACGGCCAGTTGACACCACTGGCACTTTTCTCTGTAATGTTCGAAAGCACTTTGGTCTGGCTGCAAATCATTGGTCGGACCTGGGTTTTTAACTTTCAAACATCAAAAGGTAATTTTAAAAACTCTCATAACCAATGTATGGTGGAGGGAGGGTCATGCATGTTCAGCCAATTACTCAGGGGGGCTCAAGGAAAAATATTTATAGCTTTGGGGAAGGTAAAAAAAATAAATAGAGAAGTCACACTGCAGCCACCCGCTCCTCTGTAGAGTAAAGAACAGTCCCTTACCACAGATGTTACAAATTACATGCACAGAAAAAGAGAGTGTGAATAGGAAATGGCCAAAATGTAACCCACACACACACAGTACAACTTTAGGCTACTTTCAACATTTAAGCGCAATGAGCTGCTTTATTTAACAAACTCACTCTAATATGATATTTGAAAATTTGAAGGCAGCACCTTTGGTTAGGAGATGACATCATATGAAATAAACCCCTGTCAAAATGTTCTGTTTGTACTCTAAATCACAATGTGTAATATCCCATCTTTTTATTATCATGCACACACAATCCAAAGTTATATTATAAATAACTCTCTGCACTGCTTCATAAGTCAGTTATCAGAAATGACTGCAGGCTTTTATTTTGAAGGATACAGACCAACCTCCGGCGTTACTGTGAGTTTCTCTCCGGTGCCTTGACACCACAGATCTGCAGGAATGTCGACCACGCCCCATCTGGAATGGATTACAGAGCAGAATGGATACCACATAGGGTGGACAAAATAACATGAACACCTACAAAGTGAACATCAGAGGATTTACTGAACAATGAACCCATGCCATTTATTCACCCTCTGCAGAAATATAATGTTAACAGGAGACAGTGTGGGTGTGAGCAGCAGCATCTCTGCAGCCCTGTCCTCATGAAGGGGTCGATGGGTTTGACTCTGATCTGATCTGCACAACAGGTTACAACTAAGCTGAGGGGTTAATGAAAGGAGTCTGCAGAGGGAAATTAGAAGAGACGGGGTTAGTTCCTTCAGAAATTAGACTGTTAAATCAAGGGAGAGTGTGTATGAAATACATGTATGGTGCAATATACTGTGTATATATAGGCCTATGCTCTCTCTGTGTGAGGGTGTGCATGTGTGAGTGTGTGAGGGGATTAAAGGGGGGACTGTGTGTTGCATTTGTGGTTATATCTGATTTAATTTGCATATCTGGGACAATAATATTTACCTTGACTCAGACACAACACCAGTATTTCACTGTCACACTGTTCCTTTAACATCAGTACAACAGGCCGCGAGCTGCTCTCTCTGTGTGGCGGACATGTCGAGGCAGTTTGTGTATCCTGGAGGTAAATATTTCTCAGGTCAGTAGGAGGCAGCTGCTCTGAGGATCCTGACGACTGATGTCATGTCGTCAGCCCCCCTCCCCTCCCCTGCCTCACCCAGCCAGCCGTGTTGGAGGTCCCCTCGTTCGTCAGGTTGTTTAAACAGAATCAGTTGGTACAAGGTGTTTAGACATCAGGTTGAAGGTTAAGAAGCAGAAATGAGCGCTTTTTATTCAGTGTTAGAAATGCTCATGTGTTGGTGAAGCATATGAGCAGGGCCGGATTAACCCTTTAAGAGACCCCAGGGCAGAAAAACTGTTAATCCCACTAATCCCCCCCGTCCCTCCTGCTCTCCTCCTGGACATCTCCATATTTACTTTGTAGTAACTTTGTTTGTCACATTAGTTCAGGAGGATGCAACATGTCTGCGCAAACACAAAATGAAGGTTTTAAGATTAAATTTCGTCACAAGATCTCTTAAGGCTCTTATTTCTGCCCTGAAAATGCCTGTTGGCCCCGAGAGCGCCGTGCTCCCGCCTGATGTTCGTGTCTGTCCCACAAAGGGATTTAGACAGCATGCTTCTGTGCGTGGGTGCAGTGTCAGGCATGTGGTGTCAGGTCTGGACATGAGGCTCTCCACCAGGGGCCCAGAGGACACCCACCTCCCTGCAGTATCCTACGCCACAGCTGAAGCCACAGGCTGGCATTTCCCACACAAGCACCAAATAAAATGTTTACGAGGAAACTCTCTGTGATCGCTCTCTACTTTCCTCTAATCCGTGTCTGTTTCTTGTCTCTTAGTCGCTTGCAGTATCATAAATGTAAGACTTTATCCATCATATGAATATACTCTTACGTTTCATAAACTAGCACTGGAGAATATATTTATTTAAGTTAAACTTGATCTATCTTGGCTGATCTCCTACTTTCTATATAACTGTCCTACACATTCACTCACAGTTGCTGTTTTGCTCCTCTTGTTCATGTTGGATTAAGGATCGTTGTTGGGTCTGTCACATTGCTAAGGAAGCTGTTAGCCCCGGGCTAAGACAGCGTACACACTGGCACAATCCTGACACATTCCAAGTGGGCTAAACCCGACTTTAGCCTGGGGCTTCCTGTTCTGCTTGGGAACAGGGTGAGCCTTGTGTTTGTTCCTGAAAATGGACTTAAAAGTAATTTAATCATTTTATTCAGGCAGGCAGACAAAAAAGGCGAGCGGAGTGCTGGGCAGGAGACTTGATTTACTGGGAACTGTGGTGGAGGGACGCACATGGAGAAAGCTGCTAGCCATAACGGACAATATCAACCACCCTCTCCACAACATCCTGGCTGGAAAGAGGAGCAGCTGCAGTGAGCGACTCGTCTCATTGCTCTGCAGGACTGAGAGATTCAGGAGATCCTGTAATTGTGGGTTGGATCTATATGTAATGAATCAGGGATAAATAAAGTATCTATCTATCTATCTATCTATCTATCTATCTATCTATCTACTTTCTGCTTCTCCTCCACTATACTTCAAAGGGAAATATTGCACTTTTTACTCCACTACAATCATTTAATAACTATAGTTACTTGTTACTTTACAAATTAAATGTTGTGCACTCAAACCATATGAAAATACATGAGTGCAGCTGAAAAGATAAGTTCACTGATTAGAAATTTAATTGGCAACTATTTTGAACATTTTTAAGTTATTTTTTTATATATAAGTATTTTGTGATTCCTTGTAATTATTTCAATTATTTTGATTCATTAAATGTTGTTAAATGATCTGCATCAATGCATTTTCACGCCTGCACATACATACTTCTACTTACAGTTTTTCTCAATCGCTTTGGTGCATTTCTCACATCACTATTAACATTTGCACAAGAGTTAGTGCATTTCTCAAAACAATTAGTGCAAACTGCAAAACCTAGTTGATAACCTGCAAAACTGTGTCACTTGCTCAAAATGGATAGTTCATTCCTCAAAAGCAAGTACTCATGTCAGTGAAAGTGTCAGTGTCATCAAAATGAAAGGTCCTGACACCATTGTTTATGAACAAGAGAGTCAAATGGCTTTGTCAAGTTATCATTGTGACAGTTTACTCTCTAAGTGTTTTCCAATGCACAAAAGTCAGATCTTGGTGACACTACCTGAAAATACTCGAGACAGCACTATACACTATTTGCACAGCCATTTGAAAACTACAGTGAAGTTACACATTAGTGTATTTAGTGAGGTAACAGAGTACAAGACACTGAATACGTGTGTTTCACATTTTTACTGCAATTCTAATTTGTTCACAGCATTGTGCAAAAGAAAAATACACATTTACTTATTACTCATGTATGACACAGTGACAGTAGTGCAGATTGTTTAGTGCTGAATTACTGTCCAATATACACACCTGTTCTCCCAAC